ATTGCAGAGCACGAGAGAATATGTCATCACCAAGTGAAATGTCACCAACTTCATGCTCTCCGTCATCATCCGACACATTGCAGAGCACCCAAGGAGGGACCAGTACTGCGATTCGCGCACATAACGAACATCCCGGCCCGGAAGACACTGCACCCAAAAGTGGAAATGGTTAGTGCAGATACGTATTGTTTTCCCGACAGTTACTTGTGCTGCTTTTAAAAGATATGAGCGCAATAATGCTTAGAATGCTTACATCTCGCAAATTCAGTTAAAACGTTTGTTTTTCAAGAAAACAAAAATTTCCTGTCACTTATATGGAGATAGGAACGGTAAATTTGTAGATTTCCAGTCTCTTAAAGATTTCAGTTCTTTGAATAAGTAGATGAGGTGCAGCATTTGAGAATCCCTTCTGTTATATTAAATTTATTGATTCACTTATTTTTCTAAAAGATATGCATCATCTAATAGTTTCTAGAATTATCCTTCATTATTGTTTGTCATCTATTTCTGTTGTCATTTTCAAAACTCAATTATTGACTTGTCATTTTCAGAATCACCTGTGGATGTGACGAGTCTCATGAAAGGTACTTTCTTATTTCTTTCGAAACTTAGCATTCTAATTTATATTCATTTAGTTTCATATGAAGTGAGGGAGGTAACATGAATCCATGTTGAAAAAATACACGCTTTGTAGAAAATAGAATGGATGTGGGCTATTCATTTATTCGGTGTAAGCCACTTGAATGGAAATTTAGGCAACAGAGATCTAGCGCCATTTATTTCTACCAACCAACTAATGCCGTCAACCTTTGGAGTAGGTAAACATATCGTCTACTTCTTTTAAACTTTCCAAGACAGAGTTCCTGATGATTTTTATTGATCAGGGGAATGAGGATTGCATATAAGGAAATAAAAAATACTTTCGAGTTGCTTTCCTGACGAACTAGGGTGACGAAATTGTAAACAAAAAGGCACCTAAAGTTAGAACGAACGAATTTCAGGCTCGTTTAGTCTTGCTTATCAGCAGCATAGCCTAGGACCAAGTAATAGTTCTCAACAACAGCAAGCAAGCAGTTCACGAGAAAGCAATGTTCAAAGCGGCAATACGGCGCTGCGTTCTAGGCATCGCTCGAGCCACCATGATGGGCTTATCAAATGCCATTATTGTCCTAAGAAGTGGGCCGATCAAGCCGTGGTTTGTTTTTCGACAAAAGTGGACTATGTTTAGGCTCAGAAATGAGATGTTTCCATAGAATAGGAGATAGTGAGACTTCGACTTTGAAGACTTGATATTTGAAAATTTGAAAAAAAAAACAGATATTTGAAAATCTCCGGCATGTTTAGCGGATGATAGCCAGGATGTTAGTATCCCTACTCTTAAATATCAGGCGTTGCAAATATTTTAAAATACGTCTCGCGACGATAAAGGTCTTTTAATTTTTAGTTTCGCAGTTTTCATCATCGATGGAAATATATTTTATTCTGGCTGTTACCTTTCTTGCTTTTTTATTTCCTATTTGAAAATTCGAGTTGATCAGTATGAAATGCGAGACAGTCATCGAAACCTTTTTATCCAAAAGATATCTGACTTTATTTCAGCTTTCTTAACTTCATTTTCCTTCTCCGTTTACATCTTGGATACTTTTTGATCCTGTATTTACTGTTGCACTATTCTTTGACGACATCTGTAGTGTCTTCAGTTCTGTTCTATTTATCTTTCAAACATAACAATAAATGAATGTCAGTCATAATCAATGGTCGAATAGGGAGCTTGATAAATCTCTTAATATAATCTCATTTAATATTCGAGATTACTGTTCGGTCGTAGATTATAAACATTGAATTAAATTACCAGTTTGTGAGGAGTTTTCAGTCCCATGCAAAGTCCTCTTCAATTTCTGGTCTTTTCCTGGTGTTTGTTGTAGTTGTCAACTGTTGGTAATGATATTGCACCTTTATGTTTATTTATTTTTATTTTTTGTGTTGTTACACATTCTTTCCTAAAAGATGTTTTTAATGTTTTATCAGCGAAAGGACTGGATTATTTTAATTAGTTTTAGATACCAATGCAGAATGATGGCGAAATGTTTACTGTTTATTTTAAATTGTAGGGAAACCGGGTTAAACAAACCATTTGGTGTCAGAGTCAGTTTGAAAACAATGCTTCCTGAAATTATGAAGTTCTCTGATATTCTTTACTGTTCCTGTGGACTACGATAGGGGGATTATGTAATTGATGGTTGCATCTTATTTAATATTCGAGATTCACTATTGGATGCTTCCTTGACCATTCTATGAATCCTTAGGTCGTCGAATATAGAATTGGCATGATATTTGATCGACAATTATCATTGCTGCACTGTCAAAACAACTACAGTAAAATGATGCTAAGAATATTGTAACCATCATGCACAAACTTTAGGTGCGTTCCGTGATTTTAACCTCCCTTCTTCTGTTGACAGCTGATTAACTAACAAATTATTCTTCTTTAGCATCAAAGAGATCTTTACCTTTGAAGTACTTCCATGAATACAGCCCTGGAGAGGAAATAACTTTTTTGGATCAAAAACCCATTCTCTATTTTTCGCCTTCTTAAGCAGTATTTATGCATCATCACAATTGACTAATAACAAATAACTGTGAAAATAACAAGGTTGAGAGGATCTGCCTTGCAAACCTGAAATGTTCTAACAATTATATTGATTTTCATGCTTTGACAAAATTCTTACACAGCATCTCCAAATGCGTATGATATTCTATTGCAATTGCTTCTGAAGTCCTAGACCTCCAGTTCATTATTATATGTGTTGATTATTGTCTAGCGTTCTTTTTCTAGTTCGTGAAAACCAGATCAAATTATTCAGGTTTATTATGGTTATTCCGAGTCATGTAAAGTTTTTTAGAACATAGTTCGAGTTACAATATAGAACGTTTCCGCCTTGTGTTGAATGTTCTCTGATAAAACGCAAGAATTTGGCTAAGATTGGGGAGTCAGAAAGTGGAGTAACACAGTGTTTCTACAGTTTGGAAAGGGTTATGGGAAAGGATAATCCCAGATGAAAGCTGCTAAACCACTTATTTAAAACATCAACCTCGCATATAATGAGATATCACATATGAAATGACGTCGATAAGGTACTAATGAAAAGGCAGGAAATGTTCTAAAAACTTGGAGTCGGTAGTTCTGCTTCGTTTGAATAACAAAAGCTAAGTGTCGAGGCTACATGAGCTCTCCAAAATTGAATTTATCCATTATTGAAAATTTTGTAAGCCTTTTTGAGGAAACCAAATTACAGGCATGTACAACGCACATGGGTAGTCATTGCCTATATCTTTGTTGGAATCTCTGTTTAAGTCCCAAACCAGAACGCAAAGTCCAAATTCGAGATTCCAGTTAGATGTCGCATTTAATTTAATTTATTGCGATATACCATTTTGCATACGAAATATTCGTCTACTTATTCTAACACAGAAGGTCAAGCAGTCGAAAAATATTTTAAAACCAAACGTTAACCATAACCTAATATTGTAACATAGAGTACATTCTCTATAGGAATTATTTACTTCGAAATTTTTTATAATAGAATTTGATTTAATCTTTCTATAATAATAAACAGAGTGTAGTCTACATCTCGTATAATATGAATCAGTTTTAAATGTGTGGGCGGTATTCCCAATACACTCGTAGGACGTTCATCTTGCTTTCTTTTCTTCCTTTTTTTGTGTATCCGGTAAATTTGCTAATGTTTTGTACTGGTAATTCTTACCAACTGAATAGTACGAGAAGCTGGAAGAGAGAAATAATTAAGCGAAAGAGCAAGCAAGATTTCGGAGGATTCGCAGTTCATTGGTAATGTATAAACCTTACTGATTTAAGATATTTTCAAATTTCCTTAAGTATTTGGTTCATCAGGATTCAGGTTAAAGTAATTTCTTATTTAATTTATATGCATTCAGCATGTGATTATAATTCCTGCCGTTTTTGTTCATTTGATTTCGATGCATACATGTTTAAGCAACTACACATTAACGCTGTTTGGCACTGAACAGCAGGAACATTCATCGTCTTCATTAAATTACTTTCTCGTAGGAAATAGGGGACATGGATATTTTATGCAATTGATTTTAATCCAAGCTTCTTATCCAAGGGTCGGTTGTCTATGTTATTTCAAAATATCTCTGTTAACTCCTGATATGGAGGATTGAAGCATGTTCTTAGCGATGAGCTGATAGTTCTCTAATAATTTTTAATGATCGACAAAGACTAATTTCTATTTTTCTCAAAAGGAATGTAACTTTTGAGTTTTCACGTATTTTTCTAAGGCGAATCCATCAGGATAAGACTGCAGCTATAATATTTTGAAATGTTGGAATTTGTATAGTAGATAAGGGTAGAAAATGTACAGAAGTGTATTTGTCTACCAATAACACATTGTATAGTATCAAAACAGCGTTGTGCAAAAGTATTTTGGGTTCAGTAAATATTTGATATCGTTTTAATGAGAATATGAGAATATCGAAAGTTTTGGAGGTAAGAGATTTAAGTAAAACCTGTAAATAGAGAAGTTTTTCAATGCATTACCTTATCGTTATGGCAATACCTTAATGGTTAATAGTAACAACATTGCTTTGTGGTAGTTCTGAAGCAGCATTAAATTCTTGAAGAGTGTCCGTTGAACTCAAGTATTCCTTTCAGAATTCCGAAATTTGACATGAACATCATCGATAAGAACAAATTTGATTCTTATTAAACACCATTGTTTCATCGCTCATTAATCGGAAATTTCTTTTTTAAATCAAAACCTCATATTTCTGAAATCCTATATCTATTTTGCCACTGGATTGTGCGGTATTTAACCACTAAAATGCTGTTCAGTTTTGCCAAGAGGATGAGAACACAGTGATCAAGTATCACCTATTCTTTGGGTCGATAGCATTTTTTGATGTTTCGTTTCCTGAAGAACTGTATCAGTGGTGCCGTCAATTCCAAACATTTTTCATCTCTGCGTAGATTTCTGTGTATTGTACAGATATGTTTGTATATATCGCAAACTCTTTCATTGGATATTGAGTGGAAGAATTAGTATACTGCAAATATTGGTTTTCAAATAAAAATCATTTTGGAATAAAACGCCTGCCTGCAGAAAAAACAAGAGAAGAAATTATGGGATCATACAATCAATTTTTTGAATAATAAATTTTTTTTTCAACTTTGGAATTATCATTTTTATTATCCAAGAACTTGTTTATGCTTATATTCATCTTCGTATGTTTGTCCATTTGTGCC